GGTTCATTTTAACGAGTTCTCACTTTATTCCTGCAAAAATGATAATATTCTAGAATCAGTTTTGCTAAAGTCAATATGTTTTTTCTACATTTCTGGTATTGTTTTGATGTGTATTTTTTCGTTCGCTGAGGGCGTGTTGCGGTACAAAGCTCATATCAATGCTTTTTGTTTTGTTTTGTGTTGCTGAAAATATTTTACGCGATGAACTAAGATTATTGAATGCCTCTTATTTATGATATGATACTCGTATGCGTCGTCTTGTTCTATTTCACCAAAAAATTAAAACAAAACTTAGAAATTAATTTGCCTCTAGCGGGATTTGAACCGTGGGCTTAACTCGCTACAGAGATAATCTCGAACCACTCGGATATTATGACGATGCAAATTTCAATGTCATTTTGCGCACTTCAATAGTACAAAGCAGAGAATGGAATTCAGCCACGGTCTGCCGATATAACAACAAAAAACTGCGGTGGAAATTGTTATTTCTTCCGTTAATGGTGAACTTCTTTATAAATAACGAACTGATATGATTTCATCTTCAACCTACTAGTATTTAACTAGAATTTCTGCGTACTAGTTGGTTTTCCCCTGCAGGGGAAGCACAATTCACTAAACTAATTCACTGTACCTTCAGTTTTGTGGAAGACTGTATGTAGAACATACAACTGTACATTTGAAAATTTCATTATGCTTGCAATTTGCTCTAAATCTTAAATGTTGCTGTGATTACAAATACTATTAAAATTAAGTTAATAATTAAAAAAAAAAATTAATAAATAAAATCAAATGCTTATAGATAGAGTGAGTATTTCCTCGTATAAATTATACAATTTACATATAAAAATATCTAACCATTCATTAAAATTTTCAATGCTCTCTGCCTCTTTCTCGGAACTTTACTTTGCAGCTTCCTCTTGGAAATGAGGAAAATTAATTAACAAAACGAAAAAGTTTATTTCGACGATTTTCAAAATCAATATTTAGTGGAATTTATGTGTGGAGAATAACAAATTTCACATATTTTAATGCTTTTTGACAGATTTTCAAACCAAAAAATCATATCAGCACAAATCGGTTGTATGGCACTATGTGACTTAGTATATTATAGTAGATGAGGTCGGTTCCTACAATTACTCCGGTTAATTTAATCTTTTTACCAAATTTGGTTGAAATATCTTTGAAATACATGGGGCCAGTTTGTGTACAAAAAGACAGACAGACGGACGGACATGGCTAAATCAACTCAGCTCGTCATTCTGTGATTGTAATACATTTTGGTGGTTCTCTCCCTTTTTCTTCTGGTACTTACATACCTTGGACCAAAGTTAATATACGATTTTATGTACATGAAAAGTATAACAAACCGAAAGGAAACAGAAAAACTCATACCGTACTTATTAATGGATCTCATCAAGATTCATTTACGACCCAAAGGGGTGATTTGGCAAATGTACAATTCAGGCAAAAGGTAATATATTATTCTTGCAGTATATGGATTTAGTGATCTATATCTCCCGTTCTATGTGGGGGATTGCATGACCTTGATGGCTTTAGAATGATGCTTTTTTGTACTAAAAAAAAAACAACCGGAGAAATGTTGATAACTTCACTCACTAGTGTTTGAATGCACGTCAACGGACTTCAGCAAAGAGTAAATTCTATTCTACGATAAATGCGAAAACCAAACTCGGACAGTCGAAAATGAGTATAGTATTAAAGGTTGGCGGCCGTCAGTCAATCATGCACTATTCTGGTTTTGTCCATTTCGTCTCGGTAATTTTGATGTAAAAGGTGCTCCACTGTGTGGAAGGCCAATTGTCGGAAATGTCGATCATCATGCGAGCACTGTTTCGATTGCCCAGAAGCTAAATATTGCATTGCACAAAAACCAGTTTGGAACCACTTGACATAGGCTGGAGGGAGAGTCAAAGAAGATGTTTGGATGTCACATGATTAAACGAGGAAAAAGCCTCACGCCACGACTTTCCATCAGCTCCAGAAGCTTAGAAAAATCGGCATATGCTATTTGTAAAGCGGATGAACGCGAAATGCAAGCGGTTGTGTTCGAAGAGCAGTGTGTCGACACAAACTGTCTCCAATCCAGGATTGATGGCCAGAAAAGATTTCTTGTGTATTTGGTGGGATTGGCATGTAATCGTCCACTATGAGCTGATGATTGGATCGTCTGAAGCAAGCAATCGCGCAGAAGCGCCCAACTTTGCCCAACAAAAGGGAAAAGGTGTTTTTATCAGGAAACTGGTAGTGAGTCGCCAGAAGCTCCAGGAACTTGATTAGGAGGTACTCATGCATCCAACATATAGTCCGGACCTTGCACCAAGTGATTACTATATTTTCTGGTCTATGGCAAATTATTTGGCTGTTGAAGAGTTGAACTCAATTCAATCTGAAAATCGATTGTCTCAATATTTTGCCAATAGGGATAAGGGTTTCTATGAGAGAGGCATAATGACATGTGAATTTTAGAGCAAAAGAGTTCATATTTAACATAAATCCTTCAATTTACTTTAGTTCAGCAATACATGTACATGTTTCGTACCAAGAATATGAAAAAGTCCTACAATCTCTGGCTGAGCGATTTTTATATATTCGCAATAAACTGACAAAGTGTTTGCTTCAGCTTCTCTGGAATGTTTGGGACGATGATTTTATGCCTGCCCGTTGGATCATATGTAAGTGTGCTCAAGGGCACAAAAAATACAGCATAATCTTCGCTAGTTATGGTGATGTACTAGTAAGTCTCAAACTAGAGCAAAATCCGTAGGGAAATCCAAAGTCGAATCATTATTCACAAGAACGGCTCTACTTCGAAATGAAGAGTGCTCTTTGTAAAGTGCTATTCCAACTCCCCGGAAGTCACCCATCATTCCCATCTTGCTGCACAAACGATGATATCATTTGGTGAGCTCGACCCCAGTATATCCAACGTTTGCCCTGTATGTGGGGAGTCTCTGCACGACACTAACCACCTCTTTACATGTCCCTTAAATCGATTCATCTAACCCCTCTCTCCCTCTGGTGCAATAAAACAACACGTTTCCTGGACCTCCCACTAAATGACCTCTGCGACATAGATTGATCAAACCTCTGCCTAAGCGGGGTTAGCGAACCGCTACAACAATAGCAATAACAGAAAGATTATGCAATAGATTTTCGGACCTTTGCTTTCTAGGGACGGTAAATACCGTGGAGAATAGAATGATGCGCTATACGAGATACGCAACAAAATTTAAGGGGAATTCAGATTAAAAATGCTTTATTACCGATAATTATAAAAGCAACGACGTTCCGTAGCTGTATATAAACACATTATATGTATATAAAGAAATTATCAACTTCATCTCCATGTAACGGTTGTCCCAATAGGTGTAACCACCAATCGCTTGTTGCCTGCCACTCTATGCTCGTAAATGAATGAAAAGCATAATATTTACGCACTAATTCACTTTACTTCAGATTATATTTGACATTATTTCCATATACAAATACGTGTATACATATGTACATACACGTATGTAAATATGCATATCTAAGTAACATACATATGTATTTATTTGGTTGTTGTGCATGTAAATATATATACACACTTAAACATATCTATTATTGACTGGACATACTTTATGCACTTGTGGATTGTACACGTACGTACATATGTACATATGTATGCGTTCAAGTCACGCGATTTTATTTGTGTAGGCCAACAATTAGGTATTAAACGAGTATATCCTTTTGTAGGGTTAAAAACTTACTAGTTCGAAACAGGGAAAAATGAATGGAGACTTGAAACTGATTATGATAAGCGCTCTTATTAGGATTTCTCAGCATAACTAATAGGGTTTAGAAGAAGAAATAAAGTAATTACCAAGTAGCTGCTTACCATCGTCAGTTCTTCAATACTGTTATTTTAAGTTTTAGCTATTTCAAAATGTTTTCACGATATTATTCCAAATTTTGTATTAATTTATGTAAAACAAAATTTTGCTAGTAACAAAAAAAAGTATACTGCTTGTTAAACTAGTTACCAACTAGGCTGAAATGGTACACTCAGTGCTTTTAATTTTTAATTACGCATTAAAATACACCATTGCTATTAAATATCTGGTTACAAATTATCAACACAATGTACAACTGTTATAACTAGTTACCAACTAGTCTGAAATGGTTCACTCTGTGGCTTGACTTTTAATTTCGCATAAAAATGTATAAAACTATATTTTGTAAGTAAAAAACTAGTTTTAAAATAATAAAAAAACATAAAATATATTATAGAAACTAGTTAAAAACTAGTCTGAAACGGTCGACTCAGTGATTTAACTTTTTATTGCGCATAATAATAATATATAAAGCTATATTTTGTAGAAATTAAACAGTTACAAACTAATAAAAGATTGATTATCTGTTTTGTTATAACTAGTTAGCAACTAGTCTGGTACGGTGCACTCGGTGATTTGCATACAAATTTATAAAACAATATTTTGCTATTAATTATTAATTACTCTTAAAGTATTAAATTTAATATATAAGAAATGAAATTATTAAATAAATTAAGGATATAACTGGTTGTTAACTAGCCTAACAACTAGTCCAAAATGGTGCATCCAGTTATTTAACAGCTGAGAGGAGTTAGGAAATGTTTAATAACCCTTCATATAGTTATCAAGTGGTTAAAAACTAGTCTATCATATTACGTGTAGCCCATTTTACTTTTGAAGGACATATAGTATATGTATATATATAGTAGATGTAAAAAATTAAATATAATGAAATACAGAAAATTAGAAGAAATTATATTGTAAACAAAAATATAAACGAAATTTGCAAGCTGGTATTAAAATGTACAGTAGTCCTGAACTAGTTTTAAACCGTCCACATTAAATAAACATTCAGCTGATCAACAGTAGTTTATTTTATAAGAATTTGAAAGGACTTTAAAATATAATTAATACATAACTTAATACATTGCATCTGAAGTTAGTTACCTTCGCACAGGTGTAGATTCAGTGAAAATGCTCCAATTCACAAACTAGTACTTTCGTTAACAAATTCAAATTGTTTTCCATGGCTGCATTTCGATTTTGTGTTTATTTATTTAGATTTATGTTTGCACTTAAGTTGAATTTTGCGGTTTTTTGTTTTGTTTGTTGTTTATTTTTTCTTTCTTTTTGCTTATTTTAGTTTTGACTTTTGGCTTGGGCTTTCTTATAACAAAATATTTGCACAACAGTGTCAGTAATTAAATACTTAAACCTAGAGAAGTTCACAACTAATAAATTACAGCGAATTGTTAGAGCTCTTTATACATATGTATGTATGTATGTACATACATATATACACATATGAATATGGCAAATGTATTAGATGTGTGTATATACTCGTACATATAAACATATGTACAAAACGTGAAAATTAACTTATTTTATAGCGCCAAGTTGTTAGATAATTCTCCAGCATTGGCATCTGTTAAATTCGCTATTCTTTGTTGCTTTGGATTTGTATTTGTAAAATAAACAATTGGTATTATTTTTTTAATTATTCATCACAAACTTTAATTTAATTTTATATTTCGTCTTCATCATAAATAATTATCAGTAATCATTACAACAAAAAAAATATAAAAACAAATTTCAATAATTTTTTTTTTAAATAAATAGCACACGTCTTAGAAACACTATTTTAAGCTCACTTTCTTCTTCACATTTGTCTAGCCTTGCCGAACTCATCGCCGCACCGAACACGTTCGCACGCCAATTTATACGCCGGAATACTAAATTCACGAATTCGATTCAATCTCAAGTCCAAATTCAATTCAACTTTACGGGGCTCATTTATGCTTGGATGTAAATTTCTATGTATGTATATATACAAACAAATATATGTAAGCTATACTCGTATGTGTGGACGTTTGCCCGTCTACAGGCAAAACGCGCTAACCACTCGCCCAGCTGGCTGGCTCAACAGCACAATGCTATCTCAGATGTGCTAAGCGTAGAGAGGACGCCAAAAGCGTACGTAATAGTAGTTAGTAGCGGCGACAGCAACAACACCTCTGCCAGCATACATCCACAATGTATTTACTACCCCAACAGGAACTTATGTATACACTCACACAAATCTTCTCTCAGCGCCACCCTCTATTTTCATAACAAGCAGCAACAATTTAAGTTGTTGGTCTGTCATGAGTTCCGTTAACAAAAGCTTGTGAGACAACAAAAGCATTTGAAGACCACAATTGTTGGCGCTTGGTACTTGAATGAAGCACTCATATGCTCCATCAGCTCTCATTTGCTCATTTAGCACACACACACACACACACACACATTAAGAGACATACTCTGAGGCTCTTCATTAATAGCTACATCTTTGTATATATATGTATATATATATGTGCGATCATACTCGTAGATATGTATATCTTCGGTTGGGGTTGTTTGTTGGCGCTCTCGTTATTAGGTTTGTCTCCCAATTCTCGTTCAACCCCACGCTTGGTAGTACCCTCTAGCTTTGTAACCGTTACGTTTCCCTTTATCTGTGGCTGTAAAGCACCTCAGAGCTTTACATTCATAGTAGTAGTATAATACATTAAATGTTGTGCGCCGTTGGTGGCGCTGCTGACGTCTTCGTTGCCACCACTTGCTAATTCTAATCATATGGTTCAATCTGCCAGTCTTTATATTTAATTGCCGAATGATTCTCGCTTATTTTGTTTATTTTACTGTTGGTTTGTCTTGTGTCCACTTGGCCGCAGAGCTTTTGCTCAATTGGCTGTTGCGAGTTTTGTTTTGAAGAAATTTCGTTCTCATTTTACTCTGTGTGCTTTGATTGACTTAAGCTTTTCATTAGACAGTTATGAGCGATAAAATGGAGAAACTTACGAGTCGCAGTATCGCCATACGATTCTGACAAACTTCGGTACATATATTTCATTGCTTAGAGGCTGGAATTGTGGCTAGACCAACACTTAAATTGTANCATTTCAGAACGGTGCCACTGTGACAGAAAAATTACTTCTTTGGATTCTTCGGTATATTTCGGGTATTTTATTACAAAAACAACGGGGCAACGCTGTCAATCTCAATGTAGACCGTATAATTCCAAAATTAGTTCTATGCTCTTTTGATAGTAATTGCAATGGCTAGTTGAACAGAGAACTGCCTTCGCTTGAATAGAAATGGGGTATCGGAAGTAATGACAGGGATTTGAGAAATGAAATCACCTTTAAAAGTTACGGATGGAATTGCAGCTTTTTTACATTTCTCTTTTTGTGATTACAAGTCGTATGCCTTTTTCAGAGTTTCGGCTGATTAATATTGCGTAGCATTATAATGGGCGCACCGATTTTCATATGTAATATGTGCAATGGAACCTCGCCTAAGTCCAAAGAATTCAAAAATGTTGTTGGAATTGGGTGCCTCATCAGCAGTAAATTGATATATTTACTTGTGTGGGTCATTTCTTTCCTGTTGATAGTTTTTTACGAAAATGTTAATACAAATGCCTCGAATCTAGGCATTAGGTAAGCGAACATACCTACCCATGTTCTATGCTTAAATCAAAATCATTTTTGTCAATCTGTCGATGATCATTATACCGTAAAGAAAGTATAATTTATATTTCGAGCAAATCGAGCTTGGCTGCATGTCTCTGATACATTTCAAGAAATCAGAAGTAATTCATTTAGGTAAATAATCCAAAATTTTAACCGAACCGAACCATAATGCATATGTATTTTTTTTTTCCATATAGAATAGAAAATCTTGGTCCACTTCCCGGAGGGTAGAGTAGTATATCTGTTAATCTATGCAAAGAAACGTCTACATATATTTCGAAATTCAGCCAAATACTAATATTTTTGAAATATATCAGCCCTTGTCCAACTTCCGCTACTTTTTGTGCACAAACCCTTCCAGGAACTCCATCAAGAATCTGAAAAAATTTCAAGCTAACCAGTCAACTTTTACAAACGTGCAGGAGATTTTTATAAATAATATAAAGATATTTATTTAATTTTCGATTTTTCGAAAAAAAAATCTTCTCATAAATTTGGTAATCGTAGGTGACTTGAAATTATAGGACACTTAAAATTTGAAAAAAAAAGAAAATACCAAACTGAAGAAGGAACTTGGCGGAAATACCATGCAGTCGTTATAACAATGCGAAATTTTGAGCCCTCTCACGAAAAAAAGAGTTTCGTATCTAGTCATCAAAGGTTTTTTTTTATAACATTTCAGAACGGTGCCACTGTGACAGAAAAATTACTTCTTTGGATTCTTCGGTATATTTCGGGTATTTTATTACAAAAACAACGGGGCAACGCTGTCAGCTGCAATTTGGGTGATTTTGAGTAAGTTTCGTATCTAGCCACCTTTGTAAATTATAATCATGCTCTATACCTATATGAGTGTATGTTGCATCAGATTTGCTTTTCATTTAAGAAGACATTTGAGAAAAATTAAGAAATAAATCTGTTTGGAGCTAACTTCCTTTATTGAATTTGGTTTTTCTTTGATATTTATTTTTAGATATTCAGAGATTTTAAATTAGATTTTATTGTATATAATTTTTACATAAAACTCAACAATCTTCTTGAAAAAAAAGTCGCTTTCAATAATTGGGCGACTGCTGTCAAAAAAGCTGGAGCACAAAGCATTAGAATTTGTATTCAACAGCTTGTATGTATGTATGTAAGCATATAACATTTAGAAACTTACGAAAGCTTGCTGTTATCACCTAAGAATCGCGTTGCCAACCATATAATATATATAAGGAATGTTTAAACTGGAAAATATACTATATACATGATTTCGAAATTAATTATAATTGCTTTTAAATATATGAATTTTTGAAAATAAAAAAAAAATTGTACACGTACATATATTTGATTTTTATCCATTTTAATTTAAGGGCTACAGAGTTAAAATAATATATTTCAGCAGTTCGGCTCGGTTATGCAGACCCCAGTATTTTCTACTTTTGGAAAGTTTCTACTGGAAACTGAAATATTTTTCGCTTGATCTTTTCTCTACTTCCCCCCACGAGAACTATATAGATTAAACATCCAAGTTTCTGCAGAGTATGGGACGACGGATTGTTAGATTCGTCTTCTCGTTCGTCGAAATTGTAGATAATTATTGTAACAGTGGTACTTAGCCTATATTGATCTTAACTATAAGGAATCAAGACAATTCTTAGATTGCTGTGTAACCTGTGTAAGATTCCAATCAGGTTGGGCTAAACAACTAGGATCGGGAAGGACCTCCCCGAACAGTTCGATACCAAGCGAGGTTTCAGAGAAGGTGACGCTACCGTAAGGGAGCACCCCAATAGGTACCTACTAAAAGCTGAACCTCCACCTAGCCACCTCAGAAAGGGAGTACTAGATCTAAAGGACACAAACCAGCAATACAACTACAACAACAAGGCGATTCCTTATTTTGTGACAACTTTAATCATTATTAGCTTAGTATCACTCTTGCTTTCAGTGGCTGCTTTGCACTGACTAGGTAATTAAAAGGTCTTCTTTCAACCAACCAAAGTTAAACTCTACAAGTTGCTTATCATGTCCGTCTTGCTATATTGTGCCGAAGCGTTGATGATGACATTTGGAACGACAACCATTGGAACGTTGAGCTGTACGAATCAAGAGAAAAAGGATGTGTAGGCTAGTTCTTAAGCTTTGAAAGTATTTGCTGCAGTAGCCGCTGGTGGAAGCAGAGCAAGATGATATTTCCAATTCGCGCTAAAAAGCGAAAGGAAGAAATGACTTAAATAAAATAATTGTACATTTTTAATGAGGGTGCACAGAAATAAACAAAATACAACAAAGAATTCGTGTGACCAAAACAGTGTTGACCAGTGCTATTTAAAGGTACGGCGAAAGCTCTTCCTTATATACTACGCGAGCTTTTTAACATACTGGCAAAGCTTTGGATTATACCACGTGTTTCCGCGTGGACGTACGGCCACTGACACGAAAAATACAAGCTCATTGACATAAACTGACAATTAAGAAAAAGGGTATTGTAGAAGTATTAGTGACTGTAGTAATGGTTGATGGCCTTACAGTAAAGTAAGTAAAGTGAAACTTTTAAGAGGAACATGACATAATTTTATCATATGTTAGAAAATTAGGGCAACGACTGTGCTTCACTGGGCAGGCAGCCAAAAATAAGAAAAAAAAAATAAAATAAAAAAAGACGTAAAGAAAAAAGTATATACATATATATGTAGATATGTATGTGTACAAAAATCATTTTCGACAGCAAAAAAGTGGTAAAGGAGAAGAAAAAAGCTTCTCGAAAAGCCAATAAATTTAATTTCTAATAGAAGATTGTAATGTATTTACAGTTCTTTAATCTATATTTTCTGTCAAAGCCTGAAAGTTCTTATGTATGTATATATGTATGTACGTGCACGTGCTAGGCACAGCAACAGATGAATGTTTTACCTTGATTTCGACACCCAAAGTGCAGATTAATGAGCGGTCGTATAATTGCTTGTTCAATTCAAATGCTTGAGAGTGTCGATTGAGAGAAGAGAGAAATAAGAAGATTTCGTAAATTTCGTTAAAACGAATTAATGAATGGATTTGTAAAGATTCTATTATATATAGAGTTTAAATATGTATTTGCGCAGGTTATGCTATTTTAAATACACCGCAGACCCCAGTCTTTTCTTTTTTTGGAAAGTTTCCATTGGATAAATCTTAGATTATGTAAGATTAAAATCATGTTGGGCTAAACAACTAGGATCGGGAAGGACCACCCCGAACAGTTCGATACCAAGCGAGGTTTCAGAGAAGGTGATGCTACCGCAAGGGAGCACCCCAATAGGCACGTAATAAAAGCTTAACCTCCACCTAGGCACATCAAAAAAAGAAAGTACTAGATCTAAAGGACACAAAACAGCAATACGTGCAACAACTGCTGGACGGGACGGCGTACAGACAAGCACTGAACGCCGCTCACCAGGAGTCAGTCAACACCTTCAAGGACTCCCTTCATGTGAATGACGTGCTCGTAAAAAAAACACCACCTATAGCAGAGCTCGAGCTGTCTCGAGAGATCCGCGTGACCCTGACACAGGTCTGGATACTGTAGCAGGTTAAACTCCTACTTATCCAGACCCCAGCATACCCAACGTATGCCCTGCATGTGGAGAGTCTCCGCACAACACTAACCACCTCTTCATATGCCCTCTCAAACCAACTCATCTAACCCCCCTCTCCCTTTGGTAAAACCATGTCGAAACAGCTCGTTTTCTGGACCTCTCATTTGATGACCTCGGCGACTTAGGTTGATCAAACCTGTGCCTGAGTGGGGTTACCGAACCGTTACAACAACAAAAACAAGGCGATCCCTTATTGTGTGCCAACTTTAATCACTATTAGCTTAGTATCCCTCTTGCTTTCAGTGGCTGCTCTGCACTGACTAGGTAATTAAAAAGTCTTCTTTCAACAAACCAAAGCCAAACTCTACAAGTTGCTCATCATGTCTGTCTTGCTATATGATGCCGAAGCATTGATGATGACATTGGAACGTTCAGCTGTACGACTCAAGAGACAACGGATGTGCTGGCTAGTTCTTTAGCTTTGAAAGTATTTGCTGCAGTACCCGCCGGTGTAAGCAGAGGAAGTTGAATTCCTTGACATTTCCAAATCGCGCCAAAAAGCGAAAGGAAGAAATGAATGACACGCCGTTGTTAATCGCGTTAGCAGTGAAGAAGGTGAAATTCAGAAATGAATGTGTGGGTGTCACAAAAAAAGTAGATATGACTTAAATAAAATAATTGTACATTTTTAATGAGGGTGCACAGAAATAAACAAAATACAACAAANGGTATCTCTCCCACTCCATCAGGCGCTGCGATTTTCATCGATTTTGGGCTTTTCTAAACTACAATGTCAGCCATGAAATCCAACACAGCATCTCTCTTGCCAAATGTACGTGCACGTGCTAGGCACAGCAACAGATGAATATTTTACCTTGATTTCGACACCCAAAGTGCAGATTAATGAGCGGTCGTATAATTGCTTGTTCAATTCAATTGCTTGAGAGTGTCGATTGAGAGAAGAGAGAAATAAGAAGATTTCGTAAATTTCGTTAAAACGAATTAATGAATGGATTTGTAAAGATTCTATCCGGATTGAGTAACACAGCTAATGATGCAAATTATACGCTAATTACGTTCTGTGATTGCCGAGTGGTCACACTTTAAGCTTTTTTTTTTACGAAATCGTAACTTTCGCTGTTTTTGATTGGTGCACTGCAGCTTTTTATTCTTCTTTGCTGGGGTAAACCACGGTGCTTAGCGCCAATTGGCAATATCAACGGAGTGGAGGTTTTCCACTGCACCCACCGGCGGGTTCCGCATAGAGCTCTTTGAAAGCTGCAAAGTTCTCATCCATTCAAACCACAGGAACCACGTAGCCGCTGTCTTGTGATTACCTGAACTATGCCAATGTTACCGAAATCTCGCTTATTACTTCATGGACTGTGGTACTCAAAGTTGCCAATTCAGAAAGGACTATAAATTTTGCGCGAAAGCTTTGCTTTCGAAAACTCCAACACCTCCGAACAACATATCAGCTTGGGTCTTGTAGAGTTTGGATTTCCTACGCCCAGAGGACACTTTGCCTACTCAGTCCAAAGTAGCACCTGTTGACAAGAGTGATTCGGCGTTGGATTTCAAGGCTGACATTATTGTTGGTATTGGTGCTGGTTCCTAAATTATCTACGACTTCAAAGTTATGACTGTCTTCGTTCACTACCAGACCCATTCGCTTTGCTTTTTTATCAAGCCTGAAGAAAGCAGAACTAATGGCGCGATTGTTAAGGCCGACAATGTCAATATCATCGGCGTACACCAGTAGTTGTACACTCTAAAAGAAGATTGTACCTTCTCTATTCAGTTCTGCAGCTCTTATTATTCTCTCCAGCAGCAAATTGAAGAAATCACACGACAAAGACTATCTCGTTTGGTACCGAACGGCTCGGAGAGGTCCTTCCCAATTCTGACTGCGCTTCTGGTGTTGACTAGCGTCAGTTTAGAGTGCTGTATAAGTTTTGCCGGGATACTGAATTCAGGCATAGCGGCATAGAGGCAGCTTCTCTTCGTGTTGTGGAAGGCGGCTTTGAAATCGACGAAGAGGTGCTGTGTATATGGATTCTTTTTTAACGGTATTTCCTTGGTAAATATCTGGCTGATTTTCCATATATTAAGCCACACTGATAAAGTCCAATCAGTTTGCTCCCGGTGTGATGTAGTCTTTCACACAATACGCTCGATAGCACTTTATATGCGAGAGTGAAGAGGCTTATCCCACGGTAATTAGTGCAGACTGTAGTATCGCCCTATTTGAGGGTCGGGAAGTGTACACTTTGGTTACAATCGTCAGACATGTTTTCATTCTACCATATTTTGCGCACGAGGTGATGCATACATCTTGTCAGTTCTTCGCCATCATATTTGAATAGCTTGGTCGGTAACCCATTCGACCTCGCCCTCTTATTAATTTTCGGACGTACAATTGAACTTTGACCTTCTTCATAGTTGGGCAATGAAAAGCTGGTGAAATATTCTCTGTAAATTCAGTATTCTCAGGTCATTAGTCGCTAGATTCCCTCTCTGGTTGATACAAGAGTATGGTCTTGTCTTGGAACAAATTGTAAGTTGGCTCCTCACGTTTCTCGGCATCTTTGCTTTTTGTTTACATGTGCTTTACTTTCCCCATCAATCTTTGGTATCTCTCCCACTCCATCAGGCGCTGCGATTTTCATCGATTTTGGGCTTTTCTAAACTACAATGTCAGCCATGAAATCCAACACAGCATCTCTCTTGCCAACTGTTGCTACTTTGGGCACAGTAGGCAACTGAAGGGTTGAAAGTGAAAAGTTTAAGTAAGACAAAAGAAAAACTCCTCCAGTGATGAGTCTTCAAGGGAAATGTTTTGAGGAAAATTTGCAACATCGAATATCGCTGACGATGGTATGGTGAGTTGTACGAGATATACGGCGACATTCGTATAGGTCAAAAGAGAGTGGCTCCGCTAGCTAGGTCATGTTGCACCGATGAATGAGAACACTGCAGCTTTAACGGTATTCGATGCACTACTCGCCTTGAAGAGACCTTATTGTCTGCGGATGATCAAATTAAACTTGGGTCACTTACGACAACATCGAGCGCAAACGGTCGNTACTCGCCTTGAAGAGACCTTATTGTCTGCGGATGATCAAATTAAACTTGGGTCACTTACGACTCACTCGATACTTCTATGACGGTTGACTACCTACTTTACTGAGTTAGTCTTGAAAAATCCAATCAAAAGGCCAGATTCTCAAGCTTTTAGGATGACTGTATTGGGTAAAAATATTCTTATTATTACTTTTGAAATATCAGTTAATAGCGGAAATAAATTTTTTTATTAAAAAAATTTAAATTTAATTGCAAAAAATTTATTTAAGTTTTGTTTGTTTTTGCTGCTTTAATAAATTTTGTGTTCTTGCTTCATTTGGAGGTGCCACTTTTACGCCTTTTGTTGTTTCAATTGTTGTTGTTTAGCTTTCGCCTTCCCTTCTTTTGGTCGTTTGGGCCCAGCTTGTTGTTGTACTTTATAATTTTCTGCCTCCGCATCTGCCGGGAAAGCTCTTCCTTATATACTACGCGAGCTTTTTAACATACTGGCAAAGCTTTGGATTATACCACGTGTTTCCGCGTGGACGTACGGCCACTGACACGAAAAATACAAGCTCATTGACATAAACTGACCATTAAGGAAAAGGGTATTGTAGAAGTATTAGTGACTGTAGTAATGGTTGATGGCCTTACAGTAAAGTAAGTAAAGTGAAACTTTTTAAAAGGAACATGACATAATTTTATCATATGTTAGAAAATTAGGGCAACGACTGTGCTTCACTGGGCAGGCAGCCAAAAAGGAGAAAAAAATAAAATAAAAAAAGACGTGAAGAAATAAGTATATACATATATATGTAGATATGTATGTGTACAAAAATCATTTTCGACAGCAAAAAAGTGGTAAAGGAGAAGAAAAAAGCTTCTCGAAAAGCCAATAAATTTAATTTCTAATAGAAGATTGTAATGTATTTACAGTTCTTTAATCTATATTTACCGTCAAAGCCTGAAAGTTCTTATGTATGTATATATGTATGTACGTGCACGTGCTAGGTACAGCAACAGATGAATATTTTACCTTGATTTCGACACCCAAAGTGCAGATTAATGAGCGGTCGTATAATTGCTTGTTCAATTCAAATGCTTGAGAGTGTCGATTGAGAGAAGAGAGAAATAAGAAGAATTCGTAAATTTCGTTAAAACGAATTAATGAATGGATTTGTAAAGATTCTATCCGGATTGAGTAACACAGCTAATGATGCAAATTATACGCTAATTACGTTCTGTGATTGCCGAGTGGTCACACTTTAAGCTTTTTTTTTACAGCTTTTTTTGCAGCTTTTTATTCTTCTTTGCTGGGGTAAACCACGGTGCTTAGCGCCAATTGGCAATATCAACGGAGTGGAGGTTTTCCACTGCACCCACCGGCGGGTTCCGCATAGAGCTCTTTGAAAGCTGCAAAGTTCTCATCCATTCAAACCGCAGGAACCACGTAGCCGCTCTTGATTACCTGAACTATGCCAATGTTGCCGAAATCTCGCTTATCACTCCATGGACTGTGGTACTAGAATTTACCAACTCGGTAAGGACCATAAATTTTGCTCGAAAGCTTTGCTTTCGAAAACTCCNGTTAATAGCGGAAATAAATTTTTTTATTAAAAAAATTTAAATTTAATTGCAAAAAATTTATTTAAGTTTTGTTTGTTTTTGCTGCTTTAATAAATTTTGTGTTCTTGCTTCATTTGGAGGTGCCACTTTTACGCCTTTTGTTGTTTCAATTGTTGTTGTTTAGCTTTCGCCTTCCCTTCTTTTGGTCGTTTGGGCCCAGCTTGTTGTTGTACTTTATAATTTTCTGCCTCCGCATCTGCCGGTTGCGGCGCCATCTCTAGAGCCAAAGTTTCGCTTTCAATATCTTTTTCAATAATCAATTTCGTAACTTTTTCCAATTCTTTGATTGTCTGCATGTATAGTTTCTTCGCCAAAGCGATATCTCGGCCATTCAATGATGACTGTGCTATTTCACAATCGCTAAAACGACAACAAAAAATTACAAAACAATGAAAACAAAGAACAAGTTATTGGACTGGAAGCTAAAAGTTACTCCTTACAGATTTGAGTGAAACTCGGAGTGTGAGTAAAGTACTATAATAGAGACTTGTATGTGAGGGATTTGTGAAAAGCTTGCATCAGAGTGAATTAGTTAATAAAATGTACAATGCAAACGTAGAAATAAAGCAGGGAATGCAAGTGAAGTGTTACCGGGTGAGTGTTTGTGTGCGTTGGTGTCTGCATTGCAGTCCATTACCAGGTCGGGATTTTTAGCTGTAAAAGAAATTTTGTACTCATTCGTCACCCAGACCAGAAAGTCGACGGCTGAGCGAATGGGTTGGGCCTATCTTCAAGCTTATTGACCTACTGTAGCCAAGCATAGGAGAAAATGAAACAAAAGCCGCTTCGAATGCTTGCGAAATGTGGGTAGAAAGAAGAAGGAGAAAGAAAGTAATCCATTTTCTACCACAGTCTAGAACTTACTATCGCTCATTTGGATTTCGGTTTCGGTTTTCGAATTGCGATCGCCCCTTGGCAGGGAAGGGCAACCCCTTCGAGTGTATTTCTAATATGAAATAAAGCTCCTTATAAGAAAACCATTAGCCGTTCGAAGGTGACTCAGTAAAACCACAAATTGGAGGAGGAGCTTGGCCAAAAGTCGCTTCAGCGGTTGCAAAGTACCAATTATATATTAGGTCAAGTGAAAGGCTCGTTCGGTTTTTATCTAAGATATGGCGTTATTGTCCATAGTACTAGTGTTACGTGTCGCATAATGTCATACTATACGGCGCTGAAAACGTGTTTATTCGCGCTAAAAGTTTGTCTTTGACAGTTTTTCGATTGATTGACTCTGTACGTTGTGAGCGCTCGCTGCTGAATCGCAACAAAATCGACACGCTTCTGAAGCAAATTGTGACTGGCGATGGAAAATGGGTCACTTACGACAACATCGAGCGCAAACGGTCGTAGGCAAAGCTCAGGGAAGCGGCCCAGACGATGGCCAAGACCAGATTGACGGAAAGGAGGGTTTTTCTGTGTGCTTGGTGAGGTTGGCAAGGAATCATTTACTACGAGCTCCTCCCCTATGGCCAAACGCTCAATTCAGCCCTCTACTGCAAACAAATTGACCGCTTGAAGGCAGTACTCATCCATCAACAGAGGCCGAATTGCGTTCGATCGGGACAACGCCAGGCCACACATGTCTTTGGTGACGCGCCAGAAGCTCCAGGAGCTCGGATGGGAGGTCCTAATGCACCCACCTTATAGTCCGGACCTGGAACCAAGTTATTACCATCTTTTCCTGTCCACGGTGCACGCGCTTAATGGTGAGAAGTTTGCTTCAAGAGAGGCCTGAGAAAATTGGCTTTCCGAGTTTTTTGCCAATAAAGACACAGCATTCTACGAGAAGGCTATTTCGAACAAAACGGTGCATATTTGACTTAAATCGGACAAATGTACACAAGGTTACCATGTTATGAAAAATCAATAAAAAAACCGAACAAACTTTTTACTTGACCTAATATATATAAGAGTTCTGATGAAACAATGACTTGAGATAACGGCAGACAGAAAGACTCTCAGAAAGTATTGTAGAGGCTGTAAAAGGCTAAAGCAGAGTACCCTTGAAAGTCGAGCCGAGTGCTCAACTGATTCCAATCGGCGCTGATCAAAATTTGCTGTAACAGAATATATGCGGGAATCAGCGTTGAAATTTGCGGTTTTATTGCATTATTTGAGCTTATAAAAACATGACAGAGTGCTTGGCATTGCGTGCTGAGCGCAGAGTTCAAGTATCATGGTTCGGCCAACACCCAAAATTATAGAGAATTAATTTTTCTAAATAATTGTGGTCATTCTCGGCCTTGAATGTCAAGCCCTTGTTTCTCTGATAATGAAATCCAAATCCTTTTATAAAAATTCATCGGCCATTCGGAGGCGGCTTAGAATAAACTGTAGGTCCCACCATTTGTTGAAAACACACTTCAAATTGGAAGAGAGATCGGCCGGAAATCGATTCCGCGTCGCAGTAGATTTAAGTAACTTCACAATTTCACAATACCCAGGTATGATAAACTACTGTGCTGGAAAACGATTCGGAACTAGTTTTCTCGAATCGGTCGGCTTTAGTTTCTGCTCGGTTCGGCTCCGCTCGGCTGCTATATCATGCGAGTTGTTATTTATTCCTTTGGCTACAGCTACAGCGATAATTCCTAGTGTACATCTGCTTTGTGCTCGACTCGGCTGCGCACGATTTTCAGCGTGCACTCCGCAAGAAGCCTGAGTAGAATTTGATTTCAATATACAATATAACCGGAACTTTTCTACAATGCCTATAAGCCAATAAGCCATGCATTATATATCGAATCAAACTGTGTTGAAATTGTCATACCAACTCTGCAACCATAGTCTCCAATTCAGAAACAGAAAGGTTGTGAGTCTTTTCGTAGAGCTACAACATATAAAAAGCTAAGGGCCCATTAAATGCTCGGATCTCGAAGTGAACTGATTCATATTAAATTATATGGACGCCTCGTCACTGAGGTACCAGATAAGTGCACAGCAAACGACAGTTGCAACAGCCAACATAATCTCCATCTCCACGGTTTGGTTTATCGAAAAAGCTGTAGCCTTTCACATTACGCCTCAAGTTATACTCGGCTGAACTAAAATAAAACTTATGCATCCAATCACCGGGGGACTCGTTCACAGTGGTCATGAGAATCTAGTTTGTATACATTCTGTGAGATTTCGTTTAGATGTTGCCGTGTATTAAGGATGTTTTGAGTGGAGAGAAATTAGTTAAGACTGGTATCGTATCGTATTCAAAAGCGCTTGAAATAGTATTAGTAGTTGGCGCCAGCCACTTTCCCGCTGGGTCTTTAACTGCAAACGAACCTCTATCTATATATGTATACACAAGATATCCTGCACATGTAGCTTTATAATGAACTTAGTTGAGCAAGCACGCCTCCTTTTCTTCTTCATACAGTACATACATATCCAGTCTGTGTGTAATACTCACTTGAAATATTCGCCGCTCACGTTCTTAAGCTTCGGATCGGTGGCTAGACGTATGGCGCATTGGGCTCCCTCAAATGGATTCTTCATGAACAGCCAACGCCACGGTAAAGTCATCAATTTTACACTAATGGCGGACATTAGTGGTGAGCTGCAACAAGAAGAAAGAGGAAAGACGAGTGTAATGACACGAAATGGTATCAAATGAAATAAATGAACGTGCAAAGTTCAAATAAATGAAACTGCCAAAGCCAAACGTACACTCATTGCTGTTATTTTTGTAATATGCACGTGTGAAATTTACTGCTACTTGAAAATGACACAATAGTACAGTTAGTAGCCAAAGGCATTTTCAAATTCTTTACGCTTAGTCGAACTCCATGCTCTTACACACACACTACACCACATACATACATACATACATACGAGTACTTGTAATTGTGTTCCGTATTGTGGTTATGCCTTTGGCCTTTGCCTGCTCGTCGCCGCCCCTTGCATATGATACAATAGTTAGCCAACCACTGCCATTTCATATTTAAGCACTAAAGTTTGGCTAATTAAATTTTAGTTTCGGCAACTAATTAAACTGAGATAATCACTTAAGTGCTTTGATCTTGTCTTCTATGTACGAGTATATACTCGTATGTATGTGTCTCTGTTGTATAGAGGTTTGTGCGAACAAAATCACGTGGTCACAAATATTTATATGCCTACACAAATACAAATTCGCTAGAAGGATTTTGTTTAAAGTGTGGTAATTGCATTTAAAATTTTTGTTTACGACAAGCTTGTCAAGCTTATTGATATGTAGTTACAGTGGTGGGGCTATACTAAATCCCTGCACTCGCGTCCATGTTGCGTACCCTAGAAACGTGAGCAATCTTTGTGTAAGATACCAACCCGCGTGGCGTCTTGGGTCACGGCTAAAAGTGTGTAAGTTTCAGTGGAGCCACTCCGACTTATTCGGTTTAAGAGTCCGCTGAAGTCTAACTGCAGGGTCTGTTTACCAGAGTCGAAGCGAGGTTATGCGTTGCGTCAAAAAAGAAACATCCTCAAATGGGTTGCGACTGATCGACTTCACCGGGGACTAAAATATGGCTGTCATTCATACTGCCAACCGGTGTTATACTCGACTTGGACTCCTGCTCTCTGAGAGCACTGATCAGCAACTCAGTACCGTTGCACACCATTTTAAGCTCCATACGTAAAGCTGCAAAATGTGCTATTGCATTTAAAAATGGTAACAAAAACAGCTGGTATGATGAGGACTGTCGTGTCGCAGTAAACAGAAAACTCGAAATATCGCGATCGATCACCACCATACGTGGGGGTTTGGATAGATACCGGGAATTGAAGAGGAAAGCAAGACGCATCTGCAGACAAAAAAAAAAATAAGAGACCAAGTTGCGGAAGTATGAAAAGCTTGAGAAGCTGGCAGACAAAGGCAATGTTCCAGTTATCTATAGTTTCAGAACGGTAGCAGACTCAACAGAACAGCGTCCTACAAACACTAAGAGGTGATCTAATAACAGATGTTTAAAATATACCGAATTTATAGTTTATGGAGGGAACACTTCTCCTGCTTGGCAGTGAAAAAGGAGTATCCGGAGATGGTGAGCCCGAAATCCTAATCGAAGACGTTGGAATAGACGTTCCACTACCTGACCATGTCGAAGTTCGAATAACGTTTGCCCGTCTAAATAACAACAAAGTGGCTGGGGTTGACGGGCTACCGGCATATAAGGCCCTAACGAGCGTTTTATGTGAGAGACTAAATCCCACCGTCAACAAACTGTTTGGACCTTATTAGAGTGGCTTCAGACCTGGTAAGTCAACCATTGACCAGATATTCACCAAGCGCCTAGTCTTGGAAATACCGTTAAAAGAGGATCCATACACACCATCTTTTCGTCGAATGGAAGCCCACTCACCTTTGACAGCACGAAAGAGAGTTGCTTCAACCCGGCTATATCTGAATTTGGTATCCCCGAAAAACTTATACTTCTATGTAAACTTACATCAAAAAAATCTGTAAGGATCGGGAGGGATCTCTTCGAGCCGTTCGATACCAAACGAGGTTTCAGACAGGGTGATTCTTTATCTTGTGACTTATTGCTGGAGAAAATAATATGAGGTGCAGAGCTGAATAGAGAAGGTGTAATCTTCTTTAACAGTATACAAATACTGGCGTACGTCGATGATATTGACATTAGAGGTCTCAACAACCGCGCCGTTAGTTTTGATATTTTTTCAGATTGGATAAGGAAGCGAAGCGAATGGGTCTGGTAGTGAACGAGTGGAAGGCGAAATATTTCTTGTCATCAAACAAACAGCCATCGCATTCGCGACTTGGCTCCCACGTCATTTTTTACAGTCATAACTTTGAAGTCGTAGATAATTTCGTCTATCTAGGAACCAGCATTAATACTAATAATAACGTCAGATTGAAATCCAGCGCAGAATCACTCTTGCCAACAGGTGCTATTTTTTACTGGTCTATATAGGCAAAAGTAAAGTCCTCTCTCGGCAAACGAAAACTAAACTCTACAAGTCGTTCATCATTCCCATCCTGCAAAATGGCTCAGAGGCGTGAACGATGACAACAACTGATGATACGGCTTTGGGAGTCTTCGCAGACAATGGAACGATGAGCTCTACGAGCTATATGATGATATTGACGTAGTTTAACGAATGCAGAGACAGCGTCAACGTTGGCTAGGTCATGTCGTCCGAATGGATGAAAGCGCTCCAGCTTTGAAAATATTCGATGCAGATCCGCTTCAGCTAGGGGAAGCAGAGGAAGAGGAAGCCTTCCACTCCGTTTGCAAGGATCAGATGGAGAGTGGCCTGGTTTCACTTGGTATTTCCAACTGGCTACACACAGCGAAACGAAGAGATGAATGGCTCTTTATAATTGACTCGTCTGTTATCGCAACGCCAACGCCAATAAAGAAAAAGAAGTCCGATCTGACCGGTTTCGAGAGCATCTTCTACAAAATATGGTTATATCTCAGAAACTGAAGGACTAGCTTACGTAAAACCCACGGACAGACATACAGATTTGTCTAAATCAACTCAACTCGGTATAAATATTAATGGTTCTACTTCTTTTCCTTTTGGTTCCTGTGGGACCAAACTATATTAAGAACATAAAAGGTATACAAAAATTTTTGAACTTGATATTTCGGTTACTTCCATTTTTTCATTTCACGCGTTTCTTCTTCTATTAAAGAAAAAAGAACACTTACTCCGAGTGACTTTAGTCATCTTAATTAAAATAGTTTAAACATATTTTAGTCTCAACAGTGCAGAAACTACAGCTGAGAAAAAAACGCAACTCACAACAATGAACTTCGTTAACTTGCAACAGTTACTCGTACAACAAACTCTGATTGAATAACCCACTTTTTGAGGTACGAGTAAGTAAATGCGTAAAGCAACACTGTGTGACCGCAAGTAATCGTAAGAGAGAGAGATAGAGAGCGCCAAGGAGAGGTGACAAAAAGAAAACAACCTAAAGTTGCAGAACAAAGGCGATGAATAGGTTAACTTGTACTCGTAAAATGGTGGTCGTGGTTGAAGTGTGGCGTGAGCGAACCTGCCAAATATGGGCCAGAATCTCTGATGCTGAAGAGCGCCATGAATTCACTCACACAATGGGCTAAACGGCAAGCATTTAATAGGGCTACATCAGAAGCAGGAAGCAAGAGAATGAACGAAGAAATGCTGCAGTGAGTGGTAATTAAATTTTAAAATGCGTCAACGAGCAACCTTTTGTTTTTCACATTGCGCACAGATGGTCAATAAAATAGGTACACTCTTTCGAGTTTCCTAAGGACAAGATGTTTTATATAAAATTTAACACAAATTTACTGGTTATAAAGTTGAGAGGCGCTCGAAATATTTGAATAATTTAGTAACCCTTTATTATACCAAGAGGTTGAAAAGGACTTTCTACGCGTTTATATGCGATCTCCGAGAAACCTTTCCTTTAGCTTAACATGTACAGTTTCCGAGATATATTTATTTCTGTTCGAATTGTTTAAGGATTTAGACACTCGAACGAGCTGTGTCGTCGGGTTAAACCAGTCAATGTTAAATAAGTTTAAGAAAACAGCCATCTTTTTACCCAACCTTCATTACCCTTAGACTGACATGTCGGAAGATAACTTGAAGTCAGATTATTCGGTCTACAAACCTTCAAGCAAGCTTCGAAACATAATATAAAGAGCACTCGTTGCGACAAACATGAAAAAGGGTCAAGATCGAAAAGCAGCAATCACAACAGTTAAGCCCCAAAAAAAAGAGCTGGCACATTTGGGGATTAGCGAGCCGCAAGAGAGGGGAAGAAGCCACCTGCCTCGCAACGATCGTTCGAATGTTACGATCGACCACAACACGTGCTGAGTGGTATAGATTCCGAGAATTGAAGTACTCTGAGAGGTAATCTTGTGACTGATGCGACAGATGATACTATATTATATTATGGAACGTTCTTAATGACAGCGAAAATGAAACACTAGGATTGGCCGACTGTGAAAAAGTGCGTACAGAAATTTCTAGCCTGAAGATCAACAAAGTGGTGGAGGCCGATAGAAAGGCTATGTCTGCCAATAACCTTGGTATAGGTTTACGGAATATCGCATATAACTTCCTATGAAAGATTAAAGGCCAATGTCAACAAACTGATTGATCCTTATCAGAGCGGCTTTAGACCTGGTAAATTAACCGTTTATATTCACTACGAGCCAAATTTTGGATAAGAACCATGAAAAGTGTACAGGTAGCGGGAAGCACAGATGTTACTGGCATAATTGGCTCCAACAACTGCGTCGTGATTGGATGTGCAAGCGAAGCTTGGTATAGCGACAGTCATAACTTTGAAGTTCTAGATAAGATCATCTATCAGGGTACGGTGGTAACACAATAACAATATTAGGCTGGAAATCCATCGTAGAATTACGTTTGCCAACGTCGTAGAATTACTTTATTCTCGAGGAACGAAGACCAAACTCTACTTGCTCATCATTCCCGTCCAGTTGCGTAGGGCAAAAGCGTGCATGATGATAATGCCTGATGACGTAGAGAGTTTTTGAGAGAAAGGTTTTGTGTAAGATTTACAGCCATCTGCTCGTTTTAAACGGCGAATAC